ACCTCTGCCCCATGCAGGATACATAGGACACAGATGCAGCCAGAGCACCCATACCAGCCTTACGTGTCTCTTCCTCGAAGCTTGAGCTTCCCTCCCCAGCCTAGCCACAGAGGTCAACCACGAGCCATGCCTTACCTGGCCCTCAGAGAACTCCTCCAGGCAGATGGCACACACAGGGGCTGAGCTGCAGCTGCTACCTGAGTCTCGCCACTCAGCCCGGGTCCTCTTGCAGCTGGCCCGGTACCTCCTGGTGGCCAGCTGGCTGATGGCCCAGGCTGTTCGCTGCTGAAGGGGATCCTGGGAAGAGGGGTGGGGCTCAGAATGGGACAAGGGCTCCTTTCTCCTTACCCCTGGACCCCAGCTTGTACTTGGTTCCCAGTCACCCAGATAGAGCACATGGCCAATTGACTACTCTTGGGAGTTTGTCCCTTTCGAGCTCATATATGGTTCTGCCAAGCAGGCCAAGCCTTCTCACCCTCTCCTACTCATCAAGCTCTCCTTCCCTCGATGACCCATGAGAGACACTTTTTATCCACCTGCCTGCTTGACATCTCAGATTAGATATCTAATTGGCACGTCAAACTTAATGTGCCACAAACTGAACTCCCTAATCACCCCTAACCACATACCTGTCCTCCCCAGCCCTCCCCGTCTCAGTGAATGGCAATTCCATTCTTTTAATTTCTCAGGTCACAAATCTTGGTGCCATTCTTGACTCCTCTCATTTTCCATGATGAACCCATTAGTAAACCTGTTGGTTTTACCTTCACAATATACTGAGAATCTAACTAATTCTCACCCCTTTCACTGCTACCTCCCTAACCCAAGCTACCATTACGGTCACCTGGATTCACGTAATAGCCTCTTAGTTGCTTTCTCTATTTCCAGCTTTGCCTCCCTGTGATCTAGTTTCCTCGAGGCGACAAGAGGGATCATTTTAAAACTTGATGATGGCATTCGTTCTGTTCAAAACCCTCCAATGGCTCTCATTTCACCCAGAGTGAAAAACAAAGTCCCGACAATGGCCTAAACACTTCAAAACAACTGGGCCCTCACGGACTCTGTCCTCACCTCCTGCTCTGCCCTCTCACTCACTCTCTTCCAATCACAGGGTCTCCTCACTGCTCCTCAGACATCCTGGCAGGCTTCTTCTGCCTCAAGGCCATCACACTATGGTTTTCTCCACTTGATCACTTTCTCCCCAGATATCTGCAAAGGTCACCGCCTCACGCAGGCAGGGTCTTTCCTGTCGTGTCATCTTCTCAGTGAGGATTCCTGGCCTCACTTTAAAAAGGGAACCCTGTCCCCTTTTGCATTTTACTTTTCTCCCTAGCACTTATCACCATCTAAAATACTATATATATTTTTTACTTATTTATTTTGTTCGTTATCTGTCTCTTCCTACTAAAATGAAAGCTCTCAAGAGAAAGAATCTTTTGTTTGCACTACCCCAATATCTGGCATATGAGGGAGAGCTCACTGTATTTGCTGAATGAATAATTGAATGAATGAATGAATGAATGAGCACACCTACGGAGAGAGGCTGCTGGAAATCGACAAAGTCAGATGCCAATGTATTTAGATATAAACTGTTGTGCGGGTATGAAGGCACTTTCCTTCCACACTTTCCCTTCCTGCTCCCCACCCTTCTACACGCAGACACATGCCCACCTCCACCAGGGTGCCCACCCTGCTCACCGGCCTGCTGTGGCGGGGGCGGCACCGGATGCGCAGCACTGAAGCCAAGATGACCACAAAGATGGTGCCCACCACTGTCAGGAGGATCCACACATCGTAATCTGGCTGGGGGAGGAGGGGCGGGGGGGCGAGCAGAGAGGGAAAGGGTCATACTTCTAGAAAGATCTGGGCCAATTTGAGAGGCACATAGGAGCCCAGGAGACGCTCAAGGTCCCCTTGAGTCTTCGAGCAGAGGGAAGAACCCGCAGGTGGGGTTAGATGGCTCCTCTCTCCCCACAGGCTCTCATAAGAGAGGGTCCTCCAGATGTCAGCTGTGACAGGTACTATCTAAAGACCTGTGTGCCTGGGGAAAAGGGGAAAGGGACCCTCTGAGAGGATGGAGCTACCCAGGTAGCAGCTGGGTGAGGTTTTCAGCCAGCAGAGAAACACCAGCCACTAAGAGCCCGGGGCTCAGCGGCCAGGGTTTCATTCTGGCTCGGCTAGTCTGTGCCATGAAACTACAGAGCTGAAAACAACTTTAAAACTCAGCTGGCCCAATCTGTTTATTCTGTAGATGAGGCCCAGAGAAGGGAAGAAACCTGCCCAGAGACACACAGCTAGTGGATGAAGTTGACCTGGAGGGTTTCTAGGTCTCTTCGACTCCAGGAGTCTAAGGGCTTTTGGTAGGAGTTGCCATGAGACAAAGTGGGGCTGAGAGCAGGTGCTGGGGTCTAGAGATCTGGCGTGCTTACCCAGGTTGGGGGCTCCTTCAGCTCGATCCTCACATGGGCCTTTCTGTTCTTGTACACAAACTCCATCAGCTTCTCGGCATCGTTACCCCAGATCAGCACCACTGGCCAAGTCAGCCCCAGGGGCTGCTGCAGCTGCAGGAGGGAAAATGCCCACAAGGGCTGCTGTGTTCTGACTTCTTCCCCTGGTACCTTTGTTTTCCTCCACGCAGCCCTCTCCTCAAACATCCCAATATCCTTGGGTACCTGCTCAGCAGCAGCTCGGTCCTCAGTGATGTCAAAGAGGACGGCGCTGGCTCCTCGCTCACCTGCCATTCGAGCCTGCAGAGACACATGGCAGAGGTCCCGCTGGGTTCAGAGAAAGACACAGCCCAGCTGAGCCCCGGCCTCACCTCCTCACGCACCCACTCCTTCCTAGGATCCTGCGCATACTGCACCTCTGCACATACATACATACCACACGTAAGGAGTCAGTAGGACTAGGATCCCCTGCCCTGTCCTGAGCTCACCCAGGTCTCACTGCCTTCAAGGACAATAGTCAATCCTTCCTTTCGTAGTGGAACAAACCCTGAGCAAGGTGGTGAACTGGGCTTAGGGCTAAGAACGAATAAGACCCTGCCTTCAGGGTCCCATCAGTCTGCCTTCTCTAAGAAGTGTGAAAACAGAGTAGGGAGTGACCTACTCAGCACTCCCAGGGAAGGGGGGATGACCAGTCCCCAGTACTGAGAAGGGGAGAGGAATTGCAGAGAGGTGGAGAGCTCCTTCAGAATAGAGCTGGGCCTTCCAGGGCCCAGCCGTGCCTGACCAGAGAAGCCTGCAGGGCATCCCCCCGGCTCAGGCAAAGTTCCAAGAGCCTGGGACACTGCTCCCAACCAAGGTCTCCATGGCCCCAGGCTCAGCCCATCTCCTGAGCTCTCTCTCCTTGCCACACTCTAGTTTGCTAACTCTCTCTGGCTCCAATTCAAGGACTTAATGGAGTCCCTATCCAGTGCTTTATCCCTTTGTCCCTTCCCTGAGGGTGGCACTAAAGACTCAGGTGGGGAGGGACCTGAGAGGCTGTTCCCACGAGGACACAGCTGTGCACACGTGCACATGCATGCTCACCAAGGCTCCAGGAGAAGGCTTGGGGAAGCAGAATCTAGACAACCAGTCAGAGCAGAGGCAGAAAGAGAACAAAAAGTAGGACTCTAGGGGCTCTGGGTGAGGGGTTAGAGAAAGGAGATAAGGGCCAAAGGTGAGGTGGAGGCACAAGGGCAAAGGACCAACAGACAGACACTGCTCCCGGCCTTAGTGTCAGGTCTCCCTGCCCAGCACAGCCACCTCCAGCCTTCTTCCCGACTGAAAGCTCATCTTGTAATGGCATCAGGCTGGACCCTCATGCTCAGAGGGGTCTGCGGAGCCTCTGGGGCCCTCCTCCAGGCACTGAAGGAGTTAATCCTTCTGCAAGTAGTGGTGGCAGGAAGAGGAGCCAGTGCTGGGGCTTACTCACCCTCTCGGTGCTTTGATCTCTGCTTCCCTTCCCGGGGAGAGCCTGTTGGGGCAGATCTCCTGCCGGGCAGGCCAGGGGAGCGGCTCCCGCTCCCTGCTCCCCACTCCCCAGGCAGCAGAAGGGCCAGGGGCCCCCTCAGAACAGGCAGCCTGCAGACAGGGGAGCTGGGAAACAGTGGTGGAGACACTCAAGTGGGGCCCTGTTTTGGTCAGGAGGGTAACTTCCTCTTCTCTCCTTCTGTCCCTGAGGAGCTGGGCTGGGCCCTCTACCAGCACCCAGGCCCAGCCCGGGCCCAGGCTTGCCAGACTCATTGACTGGAAATTCACAGGCCTCCAGAATGGAGTTACTGAAGAAGTTGAGAGGTCACAGCCTTCATCCACCTCCTGCCCACTTACTCCCAGGAAGCCCACCCCACCTAGGCAACCCCTGGCAAAAAGCAGCTTCCAATCTTCAGAGCCCTCCAAGCCAGGGTGTGGGAGCAGCGCCAGGGGAAAAGGAGAGAGATTCCTACTGCTACCCTCATAGTCCAGGACTTGGCCAAGGGGTGTGGAGGTCACCCCAGCAGTCACAAAATTGAGACTCCTTGATCCTCTGTGCTGCCAGGGGCTTGTGCTTCTCATCCCCAAAATGAACCCTGTACCTAGCCCGGCCTGGAAGAACATGAGGGGAGGGTGCAGACTTCCTCTTCTGGAGATTTTACCTCCCCACCCCTCTCTTTGAAGGATTGGGGTAGGAACAGTGGAAAGTAATTACCCTGACGTTCAAACATCCCAGCCCATTACAGCCCATAATTACAAAGTTGTAAAAGTGATCAAAGAGAGAGAATTGGCCAACAGGAGAAACAAACAGGACTTTCAGGCAGTGGGTGTCTGTGTCCAGAGTTCTAGGAATCAAAAAGCAAGATTGGAGGCTAGATAGCAACCCACTCTGGGGCTATCCACGCTTCCCTTCAGTCCACCTGCACCAAAGAAAGTGGGAGGGAGGTGAAGAAGAAGCACTTCTTCGGGGACTTGAATCTGGAAAGCAGAGCGGCAAGCAGGCTCTCTGGAATGGAAGACTGGGCCTTAGAAAGACAGCCCAGAGACCTCTGGGAGCTGCAGAGTCAGCCAGCCCCCCGGGGGCAGCAAGCAAGGCTGCCTGCCACCTCTAGCAACGGCAGCCAACACATCCCGGGACTTCCGTACTCTGCTCTGCACATCTCTGGGCCTAAGATCTTCCTTTCCAGATGCAGTATCTGTATGTCTCCTCCTCATCAAAGATTGACTGAGCCCTGGGCAGCAAGCCAGGCCTGCCAGAATAACTCGTAATCTAGTTGTGGAGAAAAGGGAGAGAGAGAGAGAGAGAGAGAGAGAGAGAGAGAGAGAATCTAATTGAGG